CCGATGTAAGGCGAGGTATAACTGTACAATGAAAAAAGAATAATTAATAATTATAATAATCCACTGTTAAATCTTCAAGACATTTCAAAAAAGAAGAGAGAAAGCTAATTGATATGTGGAAATTTATCTGATTTCAATATATATTATTTCAATTCTTTATTTAATTTTTTATTTTGGTTTTCTGTTTAGATGTATTATAACTTATATTCAGTTTTTTCCTCTCTAATCTATGCTAATGTAAAATTGTTCAATTCTTTATACTGTATATAAAAGGATCATGTAATAATTAATGATCAATAATTGATCATTAATTATTACATGATCCTTTAATTATTACATAAAAAAGTATGATGTGAGTGGTTCTTACTAACATTTTTACAGGTGCTCCACATAGTCTCAGGCCAAGTGTCTGGCAGTTATCATACTCCACTGGCAGAACTGTTTTTAACAGATAGAGTGGATGGACTACTCTATTGCAACTAGAATTACATCTACACAAATTCTCACTAACCTGTCAAAACAGTCCAGCATTTGTCAAACTAACATCTAATGTTTTTGATCTACTCCAAAGGTCTTTCTTAAGAATTTCTGTGGAAGTCATCCAGTTTTGAGTAGAGTAACTGTTAATATAATTACATCTGTTGACAGGAATAATTTAATTCATAAAGGCTCCTTTAGTTTCTGGAAAAGGTCAAAATCACAGGAAGACATGGTGGGTGAATAGGGCAGATGGATCTCCCTATTCACCCACCCCATTTCTGCAGCAGTGCTGTTGCCACACCAGCAATATGGTAGCAAGCATTTTCATCTTCAGAATTAGCTGTTATTGCTTATTGCACAAGTGAATGTCTCTTGGGGCAAAGTGCATGGTTCAAGGAATGTTTTATATGATAGCAATTCCTATTGAGAGATGCAATTCTAGCTACAATAGAGCAGTCCACACATTCTATCTATGAAAATGACTCTGCTAACAGAGTATGGTGACTGTCAGAGTATGATTTGACAATGGGTGCTATACACATGGCCAAAGACTATGTGAAGGACCTGCAAACACTGGTAAGTATCACTCATTTCATATTTTTTAATTCATTAATTGGGAAAAAGTGTTTTGTTTTTTTCCTAAAGTAAGACTGTTGATTTTATAAGGTCCCAAATAATGGAACCCTATAGTCAAGGGGTTGCTAACTCATTAGATCTGGAGCCATATTCTGGTCACTGTCTCTGGTCTCTCGTCTCTCACAAGCCGGTCGCTGATTGGCTAATCATTTGGATTAGGCAATCAGCGACTGGCTTGTGAGAGACAGTGATCAGAATAAAGCTCCTGGTTTTTCAGTTCAAGAGCAAAATGGTATTTTAGGGAACTAAGTACACCAATAGTTAGCAACAACCAATTGATTGCAACAACCAACCCTCTTCAGCTTGTTCTTTTAACCCAGCCTGATTAGGCTGGGTTAAAAAAACAAGCTGAAGAGGACAAAATAAAAGAAAAAAACAATAATACATTTTATTATGTGAGTGTACTAACACAACTGTGTTTCATAGTACAGTGGTACCTCAGTATACATCTGCTTTAGAATACGTCCAATTCGGAATACATCCTGTTTGGACGAAACAAATTTTGCTCGGTATATGACTTTTGTTCAGTATACGACTTAATTCAATTATACGCACCATCTACGAACAAGTTGCACTATCAGTGTATTAGACTAGACTAGACGTTCGCGGTGCCACGGTTTATTACTTTGTTAAATTTCTTCTGAATTTAATTTGTAAGTAAAATTTTCTTATTTTTATTAATCATGAATTGCAAAAAGGCATCAGAAAAATATAAAAAATGACTAGAATCGCAGTGGAACTGAAAAAAGAGATTGTTGAGAAATGTGAAGGTGGCATGTGTGTTCAAGATTTAACTGTTGCATACCGTATTCCGAGATGACGATATCGACAATCGTGAAAAATAAAGACATTATTAAATTTGCTAACGTTGCGAAAGGAGTTAAATCAATTTCTAAACAGAGATCAAAGACATTAGATCATGTTGAGAAATTGCTTTTGCTTTGGATAACTGAAAAACATTGTGCTGGCGACAGTGTATCAGAAGCAATTATATGCGAGAAAGCTAAAAAGGTACATGCTGATCTCATGAAAAATCAAGCAGGAAATTGAGGTGTATAAAGCCAGCCATTTTTTTACATTAGAACGGATTAATCAATTTTACATTACTTCTTATGGGAAAGGTTGGTTTGGTATAAGTCCAAACACCAGGAATGGATTAAGGTCGTATACCGAGGTTCCACTGTATTTATCTAAACAACAAAATCAATGACAAAGATCAGTTACAACCATAACTGGTACTTACAGTGTAATGGAAAAAAATCTACTTTTAAATGATAGGAAAGAAATTCCCAGTTGTTCTTTTCTTCAAGTGCAACATTGCTCCTTTATAACATAACAAGAAAACTTCTCTTTGGTTTCATGGTCAATCATCTACTTATAAGATGGGGATCACTGTAGGTTTGGGTGGTGCTGTTTCACATGATAGTTATTGTTAATTATGTTTCATATGACAGTTATGTAAATTAGTTGGTTATGGATTGGGAGTGGTTCAACTCACAGTAAATTCTCTCTTTCCTCCGAAATTGTTGAGAGTGTAATCTTTTCCTCCTAATTCAACATAACACTCAAAAACCAAATAAAATAGGAAAAAAATGAAAGTATTAGTAGTAGTAGTAGTTGTAGTATTTTGCTGTGTGAACTCCATATTAACATTTGATTTGAAAGTCTATATGTAAACTGTAAATAACAGTTTAGTTTTTTTACATTTCTATAAATTAACTTGAAAAAAACCCAAGGATGTTCTTTAGATCTGAAAATGAACAATGGGAATGAAGAACTATATATTATAATTTTAATAAAATAATAATTTCTATAGAAAATGATTAGATTAATAAAGGAATTTGATAAAATCTCAAGAAATATTTTAATTATCTAAATATATACAGCTTCTTAATTTTTTCTAAATTCTAATGGGTTGAAATTATTTCTTAAAGATATATATCATGTACCAAACAAAAATATTTTTATTACAAATTGTTATATAGATATATATAGTGTCTTTTATAATATTGGTTTAATTCTTTAAATGTTGTTTATTAATAACTGTATTTGTGAAGGCATGGAAACTTAAATCAATGAAAGTGCTTGAATTAAAGTTATTTTATTGTTTTATGTATAATTTAATATCTGTAAAGTGAGTTATTTATTACATAATTTGTACAGGAAATCCTCCTTAGTTCAGAATTCTAGGGATGAAAAAATTGCAACTTTAAATTATCAAGTTTTGAATCTAAGATTTATATCAGTGTTGTAGCGTTGGTGTCAGCCACCCGAGGCAAAGAAAAATTTCACTGTCCCCATATTTAGGTATCTCAATTTAAAAGACTAAAATTCAGTTTTGTCACAGAATAAATAATGAAAAATTTTGTGCTAGTGTTGCCACTTTTTAAAATCGCCGACTCGGACGGCAGGTTAGGTTTGTTCAAACAGAAGTTCCTGATGCATGCATATGTCATTTTGCAATGCGAAGAATAATGTGCAGTGCATGCCGGTTCTAAATCAGTTACAGTTAGCTATTAGGGAGACTCGGGTAAGAGTGGCGTAAGTAGCCTAGATGACTTAACCCTATTGGATGTTGGAGGTGTATATGAATGCGGTTGAATCATACAAGCAAAAGAAAAAAAAAAGGGGTCGACAGGTTGGGCACGATATCCCCAGGTAAAATTAATAGTTCACCCGGACGGTGGTCGATTCCCGGACTCTCCAGACAGTAACACTATTCCGTGCTCATTTCAATCGGTCCGAATCATAGGTGCGACGAAACTATGAAATGAAATGGTTCAAATTTTTACAAGATATTATTATTATTTATTGTGAAATTTTGCCGCCCCCTAAAAAATGCTGCCCGGGGCAGGCTGCCCCTGCTGCCCCCACTACACTACACCACTGATTTATATATATCTGTACACTATGCCAAATGCCACATAACTGATGTACAGTAGAGCCTCGATTATCCGACTCAATTGGGGACTGGGGTTGGTTGGATAATTGAAAAGTCGGATAACCGAAAAGTATGAAAAAATCCATTATTAGTGTAGTATATTATTATATCCCATGTAATTAGTTTATTAGTATATCACTAGTAACCTACTTCACGTTGAATTTTCATCGATGTTAAGCGTAACAAAAATTTTTTAAAATAATAATCGTCGCTATTGTATCATTAAAAATTAGAAAATTAAGCCTTGTTTAAATACTGGCTCCCTTTCATGGTCGATCTAGTGTTGCCAGGTAAAACACGTAAAAATAATATTAAAGTAGCCAAGACATAGCCAAATATTGTAGCGCCACATCACTAGCGGACATTTGAAATTTGCCGACTAGGACGGTCGGTTAACCGAGGTGACGGTTAATCGGGGGTCGGATAATCGAGGCTCTACTGTAATTTATTAAGTAAACAGAATACAGTTATATACATGTACAGGATGCTATTTTTGTTAGTTAATAATAATAATAATATAAATTTGAAAGTAAACAGCATATGTCCAGTGAGAACCTCACAGGTTGTCAGATAAGTTGTTATAAAAGTAAAGCAGAGTTTCTCAAGATGTAGCCCAAATTATTTTCAAAATAGCCCAAAAAATAGCAAGTTGGCCAAATGTAGTAGCCTAGCCCTACAAATATCTCAGTCTGCTGTTTATAACTCAATCTTGCAATTCCAAAAACTAATCGTATTTTATGAGATATGAGAAAAATAGGGTAGTCCAAGGTGACACCTGAAAATGTATTACTGTAAAAGCAAAGCTATATTGACCAGATCAGAGTTGTTTTTCATTTATTGTTCTCTTATAGCATGTGTTTTGTGTTTTAATTTAATTAAAATACTAGTAGCAATTATAGCATTAAAATTATATGGCAAATTTATGTAATAATTTTTTCTTCAGTTGTAGGTAATGAATTCATTGACCCAAAAAACCCCAATTAGTCTTCTTCAAGAACAATGTGCTCGATTAGGGATGACTCCAGATTACAAATTAATGAGTGTAGAAGGAGTGGTGCATGCACCTGTTTTTATGTACAGAGTACAAGTAGGAGATGAATCAGCCACTGCAACAGGTCAGAGTAAGAAGAAAGCAAAGCATGCTGCAGCTAAAGCTATTCTTGAAGTATTAAGTATGAAGGGATTCTTTGGTGAATTAGGATTGTATTCAGATGGTGTCCCAATTGATATCTCTTCTCTCGGTTCTGAAAAGTAAATTTCACACTTTTGATTTTTTTAATATTTAATAGTTTAAATATATTCATTATATAAAAATAAATTATGATAAATTAATTTTCCAATAATTAAACAGGGAATCTACCCAAAGCTCAGTAAATGAAGATGGAATACCAGGAAATCCTGTTGGAAAGTTACAAGAACTGTGTATGAAACATCGCTGGCGTCCTCCATATTATGAAACAAAAAAAGAAGAAGGTCTTCCACATGAAAGAACATTTGAAATTGCATGCTATGTAAATGAATTTACTGAAATTGGTAGGATTTTAATTTGCTTTGTTCCAAGACAAGAGATCTGCTCAAAATATAAATTTACAAGAACATCTTAAATAATAAAGTTAATATAACTTTAGTTTTAGTTTTTTGTATAAAGTGACAATTAAGATAGTTCATTAGAAATTAAAAATATAATGATAACAATTATAGTCTCTGCTGTATAATTTTAACAAGGAAAGTACACAGCTGTCTTGCCACCGATTTTGATGAGTCTTGCTATAGAACAGCTGCATTGAAAATAAACACATGTTCAAACATTTGTGTGACCGGGTCTTTGTGTGATAATTAAAATATTGAGCTCTAAAATTTCAAAATTTTTATAGTATAGTTCTTAAATGGAAAAAAGGCCTTTTATTTGTAGTTCCAGGTGGTATAGCTGCTAGCATATTTACTCAAAATCAAGAAGTTTCAAATCAACCAGTGTACTATTATTATTTTTAAAAAATAATTTTAAGTTTTGTATTTTTTATTATTTTTAATATGCAGTAACTTACAAAATATTTTTTAAATATATTTTATTTCTATAACATGAATAACAGAATATGAAAATTGAAAATAGAGAGGTTGTGGCTGAAGTTTTCATTTGTAAAACCTGAACGTCGAGCACTGCCATCTTGTAATCCTAGAAGTTTGACAATGGCGTTTGGAACATCAATCACGGCAAGTAGAAGTTCAGCTTAAACATCTGCATTTTTCTGTGTTTTGGGTTAAAATTATGACATATTTTATTAAAATAATGATTATTTAAGCATTTGTGAATAACATTGTAAAGAAACAGATGATTTTAATCCAGAAATTATTTAATTATTCAATTCTTTTGCAAGTTATGTGAAGTGCCTATAGAATTTTTATATATTTGTATTCATAATAGCTTATCATAATTCTGTAGAAGTAGGTTTGTTCTTTCATGACATCTACCATCAACAGTGTAATACATTTGTAAATTTTTTAAAGTAATTTTCTGAGCTGCTTTCAGATAAGCCACTACTTCTCTCAACAAAAGTATGTCATGAGAACAGGCAAAACGCATTGGAATTGTCCTACTATTATATCATATGGTAGGAGACATGATGCTAATTAAAGTCAAAAATAATTATTTAGTGTTATTAAACATCTTCTAAATATTTTTAAATAGTTTAATTTGTTTATTTACGTCCACTGGTAACCTTTGTTGCTCTTGATTGTTTCCGCTATTTTTCAACAATATCCTATGAATCAATGTGTGACGTGAACATGAGGCACAACATGTTTTACTTGGAGTTCAAATGTCAAACATGTACTTCTGCTTGCTGTAGAAGTTTAAAGTTTGAACTATGGCCGCAACCTCTCTAATAAGTAAATGCAGATTTTCATATCAATATTATATATTTTTAAACTTATCATGTTTTTGAAAGAATTACTTACAATGTATTGGATGATACAAATTATAAAAACATGAAATAAACAGATACAAGTGTTTAAATAATAGTCACATCCTAATTGTATTTGTAAAAGGATTGTGGAATTGGTGAAAAATATATGACCCACTTCTCATTTTGGAAAATAAGGTGAAATTTAATGTACAAAAATTCAAATTGTGTTTATAACTATTATTAATTTCAACAAAACTTAACTTATTTTAATTATTTAGATTTTAATGTTTTTTTTTAAAGTGAAAATGGCAACAGAGCATATAACTTTATGTGAAGAAATTCTGTTCATGAATGCATTGCCATTTGAAGTCATTAAAGTATTCTTTGTAAAGTGCTTACATGTGTAGAAAGTGTCTGTTTTTATCAGGGTTGTGGAGTCTGAGTCGGAGTCGTGGAGTTTTGGTGTTTTAGCCGGAGTCGGAGTCGGATGGTAAGGAAGAGTCGGAGTCGGTAGATTTTTATGCGACTCCACAGCTCTGGCAGGACTGTGGACTCGGAGTCGGAGTCGTGGAGTTTTGGTGTTTTAGCCGGAGTCGGAGTCAGATTGGTAAGGAAAAGTCAGAGTTGGAGTCGGTAGATTTTTACGCGACTCCACAGCCCTGGTTTTTATGATTTGTATCATCTGATGCCTTGTAAGTAATTCTTTAAAAATATGCTAAAAGTTTAAAAATAAACAATATTAATATGAAAGTCTACATTTATTTATTTTGACATGAATTTTTACATGAATTTAACAGAATACAGAGTTCTGTTAAATTCATGTTATAGGAATAAAATATTTTTCTTGTATTTTTTATTACTATAATAAACACTAAGATTTTTTAAAAATATTATTATTATTATTATTATTATTATTATTATTATTATAATTAATGGTACACTGACTGATTCAAACCTTCAACTTATCCATTTCAAGCCAGATATGCTAGCAATTACACCACAAACTACAAATAAGGGATCCTTTTTCTCTGTTTAAGAAGTATACTACAGAAATTTTGAAATTTTAGAGTTTAATATTTTGATTGTCAATACTCATTCTCACAAATGCTTGGACATGTGTTCATTTATTTTCAAGGTAGATGTTCTGTAGCAAGACTCATCAAAACCAGTGACAAATCAGCTGTGCCCTCCTCTTGTAAGTTATATGAGACTTCAATGTTAATGAATATTAAAAGTAAAGATTTATAAAATTCATTTTACTGTTTTGCTTCAAAAAAATAATTTTAACTATGTCTCATAGTAAGAATTTTCTTCTTTCTACCAATAACAATTAGTTTTATAATTTATTCACTTTATGACTTCACTAATTTGATATTATATCTAAATATCAGATATGTATTGCATTTAGAGTGGTTTATGTTCATTTATTTTTAGATTTAGACTATGTATAACTAATCTAATTATTTTCACTTGAATTAAATTTATTCTGAGACTTATTTTATGAAAAATAAGAGTTAACTGGAAAGATATTAGAGAATTTCCTGCTGTCAAATATATTGGGTTGTTTGGAAAGTAATTTCATTTTTTTTTTACCACTAGATGGGTTAGCTGTATTTTTCCCACCATTTTCATTCTAAATGGTATTATCATTATATATTTTGACAGCTAGCATTTTAAGGCTTATTTGTAAAAAATTTTGTTTGATTTTGTGCAATTGTTTATTTTTTGTGTCCTATCAACTATGGAAGATTGAAAGCAGCATTTTCGGCATGGTTTGCTCTTTTATTACCGAAAAGATAAGAATGCTGTTCAAGCGAGAAAAAAATTGTGTGATGTGTATGGAGATGTATTGACAGAACGACAGTGCCAAAACTGGTTTACAAAATTTCGTTTTGGCAATTTGAATATTGAAGATGCACCATGTTCTGGATGGCCAGTTGAAGCCAGTGAAAACAAAATAAAGATACTGATTGAAGCAAACTGCCGAATAACAACATGTGAAATCACTGAGAGATTAAATTTGTCAAATTGAACTGTCTATGATTACTTGAAACAAATTGGTTTCATTTCAAAGCTTGATATATGGGTTCCACATGTTCTTAAAGAGAGTTGCTCTCTTTGGTGGGATTTTAAGGAAATTTTTTTTTGAGCTTTTACCAGACAATTTAACAATTGATTCGAGAGTGTACTGCCATTGAGTAAACAAATTGAGTAATATCATCAAACAGAAAAGAATTGATCAACAAAACAGGTATAGTGTTTTACCACAATAATGTCAAATTTCACACAAGTTTGGTAACTCGTCAGAAACTGTTATAACTTAGACGAGATGTGCTATCACACTAACCGTATTTGCCAGATTGAGCACACTCAGATTATTACTTGTTCCGGTCTATACAAATTTTTTTTTAACTGTAAGATATTTACTTGAAATAACAATGTAAAAAATCACTTGGATCAGTTTTTTGTAAGCAATGATTGAAACTTTTATGAATGTGAAATCATGCTACTACCAGAAACGATGACAACAGGTATTTGACCAAAACGGTTGATATATAATTCAATAAAATATTTATTTATTATAAAAATATTTTTTTTTTTTTTCAATGGAAAAAAACGAAATTACTTTCTGAACAACCCAATA